TTTGTCCATTCGAAATTACGTTTGAGGTTCAAGAAAATAATTTTTTTTTTATTTTGTACCCCAAAAAGAAAAACACCAATGGAAAATGAAATTGCCTTTATTATTCAATTGAGGGTGCATTGTGAATGGTTTATTGTGTTTTGAGGGTGCAAAGTGCTATTATTATTTTTCGAGGGTGCAAAATGCCAAAATGGTATGTTTCAAGGGTGCAAAGTGGAATTACGCCAATTTTTAATTAAAATATCATATATATTATAGTTATATCATATTTTAATCATCACAGAAAATTCTAAATTAATTCAAATTATTCTAATAATGTATTGCACTTAATATTTCATGAATTCATTGCACGATCTCAAGGCATTGATAAAAAAAACTTCAAAAATAAGTAATATTCATGAATTTTATTTAAAATAATACAAGTTTTAAGCATCTTATTTTATATTTTATATTAAATACGATATATTTATCATAATTTATATAAGATTATGGAGAAGAAAAAAAAAATGGGTTACCCGGTATCGCCCATGCGAACGAGTATATTTCGTTTCATTTTGTGAAATGTGTAATTAAAGATAAAATAAATTGAATGTTTTTTAACTCAAAGGACAAATATCTTTAAATTGTACCAAATAACATATTAACAAAAGATTTAACACAATGACTAGAACAATTGTATGTATATTTAAATTACTTTAAATAAAAACAAAATTATTTAGAAAATCGTGTTTTTAATCAAACTAGCATTTTCCCTCGTGCGATGCACGGGATAACATTTCAAATGAAAATGATGATTAGTTTAATACAGGCTAATAACAATTATAATAAAATTTCATAATTATATCGATAACAACATCAACATTTATACGAATTTAATAATACAAACTCATTAAAAAAAAACTTTAAAGATTTAATTGTCATAGTATGAAATTGATCGTTAAATAAATGAAACAAATTTTTTTATAGAAAAAAATAGGCTGGAAAATAGGAGAGAAATAAAATAAATAATAATAATAATAATAATAATAATAATAATAATAATAATAATAATAATAATAATAATAATAATAATAATAATAATAATAATAATAATAATAATAATAATAATAATAATAATAATAATAATAATAATAATAATAATAATAATAATAATAATAATAATAATAATAATAATAATAATAATAATAATAATAATTGTTAAAGTAATTAAAAAAAACTGCAAAATAGGAAATCAAAAAAATTATATACACATAAATTAATTTCTTTTTACGAATATGCCATTAGAGTTTCTTAGGTTACCTAGCGTAGACACGGTCATGGCCGGTCGGCCGGTCATACCGGTCACGGTCACTTTTCCGGAACCGGAACCGGCCCGCCCGCCCGCCGGTTCAATCCGGTTCTGGGCCTATCCGGGCCGGTTCCGGGTCGACCCGTAAATTTATATTTATATATATATTTAAGAAAAAAAACTTAATGGATAAATAAATTAAAATAATTACTTTTAAATAGGAAAAAAACAAAAGGAAATAAATAAAATGACTTTAACTTAATTTTATAGGAAAAAAATAGGGTGTGAGGGTATTTATAAGAAAAAATGGTGGGGCAGAATTAAAAAAATAGCAAATAACGGCCGGTTCACGGGCCGTTTTTTGTTTTTTTTTTTTATTTTTTTGATTTTTTTGATTTTTTTTTTAAATCTGGGTGAACCGCCAGGCCGGCCCGACGGTTCACGGTTCACCAATTCATAGAACCGCCCGTCGTCCTTTCCGGGCCGGTTCACCGGTCAACGGTTCGAGTCGGTTCGTCAACGGGCCGGTTCGGGTCGGTTCCGGGCCCAAAACCGGTCCATGGCCGTGTCTACCCTAGCGTTTCTTTCTTTTATATATAAGATTATTAACAAGCTCCGAGTAAACAAAACACATGAACGAACAAGTTTTTATGATTCATAAAATATGTAACATCTTTTTAATTGTGGCAAGAGAAAAATGTACAGTAACAATTCTATAAAATAATATAGTCGGGATTAACAAAATTCTATTAATTTAGCAAAATATTAAATTACATAACTAATAATTTAGTTTGTTGTCATCAAGTCAGGACCTAGAAAAATTATTATTTAAGTGAGATTATCAATTTATCGAGGTTAAAGTCTAATTGGCCGTCTTTATATTTTTATCAGACATCTTAAAAACATTATATTATGCATGATGGTAAATACTAATGCATTATAAAGATGTATAAAAATAAATATGCTGGTGAGCTAGTCAATAAAATTAAATGAACAATTTATCAACAAAATTATCAATGATGTGGTTAATTGTAATCAATTAAAAGAACCTCCCTCCACTTGAATCACCACTACCGCCACCATATCCCACGCCGCCGCCCATCGTATGTCACCTTTTGGTAATCTTCGGCGGTGTCGCCGAAGGAAAAAATAACGCTATAAAATTTGAAACAAGTAAGTTTAGTACTTTAGAAATAACATATTTTGAGTTTATAAAAAAAAATTACGAGTTATTATATATTTGAATTTTACCTTAGAAATGTCGAGTAACTATTAATAAGTATGGGGAAATTGATAGAAAATCTTGAAATTACATGGGAGTTTAACGTATTAAAATCTTTGATTGGTTGAATCCGTACAAAATTTTTGTGGTCGTCTCAAAAATTGGAGTTAGTAACATATTCGATTGAAAAGATTTATATTAACAGCCCGCAATAAAAGTGGAGAACGAAATTAAATATTACTAATCAATAAAATTAGTAGTAATTCATAAAAATACTATAAATTTGGATATAATTATTCCATAAATTAGAAATATTATTGAAAATTAATTTTAATATATTTCAACAATTATAATACTATATTTTAATATAAGTAAAACATCTTACCTAATGTTGTTAGAATCAGACCGAATCGGCCGGTCGGACCGGTTCGACCGTGACCCGCCAATAAAGCGGTCCGGTCTGACATCTAAAACCAGAAAAATTGAAAATTGGTCAAATGCCCAAATCCGGTTCGATCGGGTAAAACCTAATAACTGACGAGTCCGTCAGGAAACCTGATTTTCGGCCACAACGTTTCGAATCACCGCTGAGTTGGTTATTTGTGGCTAAATTTGAACGAACCTTCAAAGATATGATCATGGGTGATCCGTGATCGAGTAAAGGTGGCCGATTGCCGGATTTGAAGAATAAATAATGGAAAGCTATAGAGTATAAGCAATAAAATATAGTAAAAAGTGAGGTGAAGTGTAAAAAGTGACGTGAAGTAGATAAAAGGGAAATAATAAGTGGAAGATTAAAAATACAAAGAAAATATTTTTAAAACATTAAAATTAATAAAAAAAATTGACATATTAGAAAAAATCAAAAACCCGGTTGAACCGAATCGACCCTATAAACTAGGGGTGCAAGTTGGAACGGAAATTCCGATTTCCGCCGGTTCCGATCCGAAAAGTTCCGATTTTGGAACAACTTTTTTCATTCCGATTTCCGAAATTCCGATTTCCGATTTTTTCCGATTTTTTTGGATTGGAATTGGAATTATATAAAAAAAAATTGGAATTCCGATTCCGATCCGATAT